AGTGCACTCATTTGACCCCCCCATCCAGGGGCTCTATACTACTGGGGGGGTACTGATGCTGTGCATTTTAATTAAATGTACGAAATCTGTATTTCACAGTTTAATGCATTCATGTATTTTGTGAATTGTCTTAGGATTCATGTAATAATTGTTTCTATGTATTATTAAGCACTAAATCTATTCAACTGCATGTGTAAATGGGGAAAATGTGGATATGTAAATGATATATAATTGCAATGTGTAAAATGTGACATTTTCTTATATGAGGGAGTCTGTTCATGTAATTTTTTTTTATTAATTATTTTATTTATCTTGATAAAATTATTTCAATTAACAATATTGTTTTTCTTACCAGTCTGATGAACTCAACAAAGGTTACAGAGGTGAATGGTGGAAATATGGGTATTACAGGTGTCAAAACTCTTCGTTGATAACCAGACTGCATGCCGCACTGTAAAATCACCATTTTGGATCTTTAAAAGGGGAGGCTACTCCTGAAATCAAAGAAATTGTCATAAAAATGAGTAACCTGATTTTCTTTAGGTCTCACACAAGGAAATAATTTCACTATATGTTACTATATAGCTTTAATTAAATAAATTAATTAACTAGACCCTCAGCAGATAATTCATGAATGAGAAAAAAGATTAATGCTTAGACAAAATTTGAGATCAGAAAAAATATACCCCTTATGCAGCTTTTAAGAAAGAAAATTGAGACTAAACATACCTATACCCCGAAATACACATGGGCAAACAGCCAACACACCATCGAGGAAGTTACATCGATCATGCTTACCTAAAAAAAAGAGTTCCCTTTGATTCAGTGGCACAATTCTGCTGATATGATATTCCTAGTGCATGAGTCCAAAATTAAAACTGTAGACCTAAGTAAAGTTCCTGAAAATGAAAAAAGAAAAGAAATATTATTGTCTCTATATACATCATACATAGAACTACACTTGTTCATTTTAATTAGCTATCTCCTTGCATAAGACCTTTAAGGGTAATTTTATGCTATTTACCATGTGCACTGATTGCCATAAAACTAAAGAAAAATACCAGCCTTACAAAGTCACTTAACCATGACCTTTGACATACCTTACTAAGAATACCCTGGACAATTTGGTTTAACTTAAGACTTCTGAATTTTTAAATGCAGGTTTTGATAAATTAACCATTTAATATACTTATGAGCTCATAAACCTGTTCTTTAAAACTGTATAATAAAGAGTGTAAAAACTTTGAAACAAAGTATTATCACACATGTGATATGGGATAAATTATCACCACAGAAAGATCAAAGAAAATCACTGCAAATATGCGGCATTAATTCTTATCATTGTTTATTGTATGTCAAGTCTAGAATATGATATATCATTACAAATATTATGATTTTTAGCCGGGCACATTGCTCATAGAGCAATGCTCAGCTATTGCGACGGTGAGCAACAGAAAATGCTGCTTCTTCACCGCCAAATTGAGTTTACGAGTAAAAGTATGGTACGTGCACCAGCCGCTGTTGAGAAAACAAAATCCATTCAACACCTTAAGAAATAGTAAATTGAATATTTTTATCATAATATTAAATTGTTTAATATTTTTTCCTGGCTCCTTTGACTAATATTTTACAAAGTAATTCAACGGGTGCGAAAGGTTTTCACCAGGTATCCCTGTCTGCATCATATTCTATAAACAATATAATTAAAATTAGATGTTAGATCCGCTCGCATTCTCGCCACACTAACATCTAACAAGTCATCCCATTGAGGGTCACGTAAGAGGTTAAATTTGGAACACCTCTAGATTTATTCGCTTCAACAATATATGATGATTTTGCCAGCTGCGATTTGATTAATTGATAGAATTTGACCTATGACGTGACCCTCAACGGGATGTTGTTAGATGTTAGTGTAGCGAGTATGCAAGCGGATCTAACATCTAATTTGAATAAGATTGATTCTATAAATAAAGGTTGTACTATCAGGCTAACACAAATGCAGGGAACATCATTAATGACTTGATGCAAATCTCCCCGCTGAGGACACATCAGTGCAGAGACGTTTGACCTTAATCTTGCTGCATCAGTGTTTATTTACTTCTGTTGTATATAAAACCGGATTACCCCGAAACGATACGTGATAAATATTTTTCGCTGTTAATTTCTAGCTATATTTTATTTTATTTTTAAAACTATTTAATATTATACATGCCATTGAGATATTTTTGTGTGTATTACATATTCTCTAAACGTCTGAACGTGATTTTTAAACTGTCACCTTAGTCCTTGTTCATTATCCTGTAAATGAGCCCGGCTCAATACATTTACTATAAAAATAATTGGACAAATTTGTGAATGACAATATTCAATGATGCATAGCAATTAATCTTTTCCTGACATTCACCTTCTCCTAAAAATTTGTCGTGTTATTTATTTATTTATTGCAAAGTCGTCCCTGGACTAGTGCTACGGTCAAGGCAGCTGCAATGGGCCATGCAATTTCGAACCCTGCGTGGTGAGAGTTTGTCCCGAGACACAGTTAGATTATTCTAACTAGCACCAATATAGAATAAATCATACCGATTAATCAACATCACTACAATATGAGGACGTAAAAATAGGATAAAACATCCTTTAGTCCAGCAATAAGCCACTAAATTGTTTTTGATGTACCTTCAAACAAATCAAATTAATGTTCTTGATTCCCACTTTTCACGTTATGACTGACTTAGTGCTTCTTGATACCAAAACAATTTTTCTATTACCTATAATTTTGACTTTAGGTTGAATTCGCCAATTTCATGCTTGCGAAGTTGTGTCAGTGTGTGCATTACGACCACTCCGGCTACTTTCGTTATTTCTAACCAATGAAAATTGTCCTTACTTTTCTGTTGCGTCATGCAATTTTATTGCACGCATCACTGAATTGTAGAACACACATCACAAGATTTCGAATCTACATCACAAGATTATCGAACATACATCACAAGATTTCGAATATACATCACAAGATTATCGAACATACATCACAAGATTTCGAATATACATCACAAGATTTCGAACATACATCACAAGATTATAGAATATACATCACAAGATTTCGAATATACATCACAAGATATTGAATATACATCACAAGATTTCGAACATACATCACAAGATTATAGAATATACATCACAAGTTTTAGAATATACATCACAAGATATTGAATATACATCACAAGATTTTGAACATACATCACAAGATTTTGAATATACATCACAAGATTTTGAATATACATCACAAGATTTCGAATATACATCACAAGATTTTGAATATACATCACAAGATTTTGAATATACATCACAAGATTTCGAATATACATCACAAGATTTTGAATATACATCACAAGATTTTGAATATACATCACAAGATTTCGAACATACATCACAAGATTTTGAATATACATCACAAGATTATCAAATATTGCAACGTTTGACATGCCATATGGAAGCATATATTTCGAAATAAATTTGGAACATTCTAAAAACAGCTTTTATATCAGTAACATTTTTGGGAGTTGAACTATGTTCAATCCCATGGTCATCACGCATTTAACATACGCAGTAATTTGTGCTGATTATATAGAGCCGAAAGCGAGGCTACTGTGTCAACCTATTTACTCCGATGATATTCAACAGAAAACATGCATAAACATCCGCCACAAATAGTTCATATCATTTTCTCCTGAATTGATCTAATTTTCATTATTTGAAATGTTAGTAAATGTTATGATAAAGTAATCTTAATTTGAATGTTAGTTTTCATTCAGAGTAAAACTAAATTATAAAGAACCTCAAAAGATTTGTTCGTAATGAAAGTCATTTTTAGTGTAGCGTCATACACTGTAAGAGATTGTAAGAGACTGTAAGAAACGACAACTCTACAAACTGACTGCAAGCGGTAAATCTAGTCTTCCCGACAGTCCAGGATTTTAAGCAATTCAGTGTCTGAATGTCATTCTCAAGATTGTTGCAACTTAAAAAATCTGAAACAGTTGTCTGTATTTGAAATAATAATACTGTTCACTCACTTAACCTCCCGATGATAGATTTTATTTTACACCATGTTCAACTCCCATTAGTGCTTTCCGTACTTTGATTTTTAAATCAAATTTACAGTAATGTATAATGCATACTGTTTTGTGTTGCTGATCAATAATTGAAATATACATAATCTAATATTTATATTCCATGATGATCATTCCTATTTTTAGTTTTGTCAAACACAAGATTTATGAATCTCAGTTAACGAATCTCATTAATATCTTAAGTTTTTTTTTTACATAATAAAATATCAAATAAGAAGAGAGATGCATTTTCTTTATTTTCACTACATTTTTATCTGGTGATAAAACAATAAAATAAAAATAAAAACGGGGATTGCTTCACCCATGAGTGCGAAAAGCGAACCGAATTAATAAATATTCTTTCGTTGAAGTCATAGCAACACTGTTTGATTTTAGTTCTAAACTTTGCAAGATTAAACGTGCAGAATTTGTTCATTTCATGCACTCTTAGTTTTAGAAGGTGCTTGCGATATAATTCTACCCCGCTCGAGGTTTGTAACAAAACAAAATCTTAAAGAAGTACTTATGCTGTAGTCTGTTTCTATTCAACAAAGATACCAGTCTGCAATACGTGCATTTGTGGCGATTAATCAGTTGTAAATAATGTACAAATCTTTAAAAAAAAATCAAGCACTTCGAATATTATTCATTTACTGTTCACTTGAGCAAATGATTTTGTTCGAATATTAAAAAAAAAAACAGGCCGTTACCAACACCAACAGAAAGGTACAACTTTGTTTTTTTTTTTATAAATAATTTGCTATAAATTTGGAAATTAATGTCAAAATTGCGATGCAAGATATGTCGAAAATTTGTTACACTCAGATGAAACTCAACGGCAATAGAATTGAAATATAAAAAACAGAGTTCATATATCTAAAAGCAATATGAGCTGCAGTCTTGATTTTGGGAATTTTAGTTGAAACAGTGTAAATAACTATTTCAATGACAGAAAAAAAAGTTAATAAACTTATGTTGTTCATATTTTCGAAGGAAGAACTATTTATAAGCTTCGACTGAATCAAAATAACATTTTTGTCAGCCTGTACAAAAATTATTTCCTACATAAACCTGTATAATTGGATTTTATCTTAAAAAAGTCTTTCGTCTGCATCATTTTTGTTTAATTGATCATAAAGGTATACTTATATAGATATTAATAATAATAACACATTTTATAAGCAAAATAAAATTTTCAAAAATGCAGATGATATTGCTTTAAATCTGGCCTCTGAAAAGCAGATGCAAATGTAAATGAAGTGAAGTGATTACTACGTCTTAAACACATTAACTGTTGGTGCACCATATCAATAAATGTATTTAAAATCATAAATAATAAAACACTTATGTTCATTTGATTTTTTTTTACATTGATAGTCTTTCTTTACTGTATTTTTTCCAGGGGGTCAAAATTCCGCGAATCACAATAAATATATGTTTAATACACAGGTAAAAAAACTGCACTTATTCTTGACATGTCAAAAAAAAAAAAAAACAACAAACAAATAATATAGTGTTCTATATAGAAAATATGAGAGAAAGATTACCGTTGTTTCTATCTGGTTTTTCAAATATCAACTTTGCGAGTACAAGGATAAGAATAACTCAGGAAAACATATGAATGCGGAACGTTCCCGCCATATGCATATCGGATCGCGCTATAAACGAAGTGTTTTTAAATGTATCAAGCACGCCAGTCCGTACAAACATAATCCCTAAAACGGAATAAAAAATATCTCAAATTTCATTAGTAGCGAATTTGGGGTCACATCTTTTAAAATAAGGTGTTGATCAATTTAATCAATTACATGTCAAAACCCAGGGATCTGAAAACTGCAGTAAAATCAAGGGTCTTAGCGTTTTTTTTTTAAATTCTATCCACTTGAGAACAAAAGTCAAGCTTTTATCTGAAATTGTGATTGAGTTGATTTCAAATTTAATGAAGGCATAATTATATATAGACAAAAAATATTATAGGGGATAAAATTATTCTTCTGTGAATTTTTAAATCACCTTTGCTTGTTTAAGGTTGTTTGCAACTATCAAGGATAGATAGAAGATATGCATGTAAACGAACGTGTTTCATTTTATGTATTACCTTCATAACCTTATTAGTTTAATGCATTTTCATTCCTAAATGCTGTTTTAGTACCCTATGACAGGTTTCCGCACAAAAATTAAAAAAAAAATTATTGCGTAAATTAATCCCACGGGGCAAAAATAGGTCTACAGTATTTTGTAAAGGTATGAAACATTTAACATATTCATCCTTGTCCTAAAAGTTCAAATTCTCTAAAAGAAAAGTCTTTGTACTTTGAAAATCATGAATATTTCCGAATGCGACAACCACTCGTGTTATTGTTTTTAGTTTCAAATCTCTATTTTTCCTTTCATTCTCTTCCATGTTGAAAGGACGATTGTCTTTGAACACCTTTGCATCTTCTACGGCTCCATAAAAGTTATAGGATATTATTCTTCCACAAAAGCATTCACCTTGATTATATGTCTCCATAAGAGATAAATCATTCTCGAGAGAACGTATACCCAGTGTCCACAATTTTTTTACCATATCTGCTCTACCTAGATATATAGCTACATGTAATGCCGTAGGTAGATCACTCCTATTACGTTCAAAGATAAAACTTTTGTCAAAGTTTAGAAGTTCATCAAGAATATCCCCATAGTTATGTATCACAAGATAATGTATTATGTTATTTTCATGTTCATCAACAGCCTTATATAGGTCTATGATCTTAACCTTCGTATTTTCGGTGAGCAAAGAGGTGAGGACTTTTTTAAATTCGTCACTGTCTGGGAACATCAAATTGCTAAATCGAAACAAATTCCCAAGCACTGAATCCTTAATTTTGTTTGATGGACAGTAAACGGTTTGATGTCCATATCGGAGTCCTAGAAGAGCTGTCTGTAGCACAGAATAACCTTCTGAAGTTTTTTCTGATATATCATATCCAAGCTTTATAAATTTCTGTAATAACAATGATCTACCAGCGTAAGCTGCAAAGTGAACACATGTCCATATTTCTTTTGTCTTTGTTGGTTTGTGCATTTCCAGAACCATGTCCACCAAGTCATCTAGACCATGAATAACACAGTAATGGAGAATGGATAGATTTCTGCGCGTTATCAAGTGAATTATATTACGTATTTCTGATAGATCTTTATGCTTACAAATATATGGCACAATAACTCTTACTATCATATTATAATCATGCAAGAAGTATTTTTGAAGTGCTCCCTCAATATATCTTATCGTTATTTCAAACTTCGGTTTAATCACATGATTAGCTTGTACACTATGATGTGGACCGTAACGGTCCAGAAGCTCCCACAGCAGAATATTTTTCCCGAAAAGTAAATGCGTTAAATTATCATTTAACAAAAAATTAAACAAGGAACCAGTCTTACAGACATTTTACGATTGCATAGAATAGACACGAAATCAGGATCATCACAAACTGGGTGATACAGGATATCACTAGCTATAGTTTGTATATGTAGGGATTTTTTCTCCTCTCCATCATTTCCCCGTAAAAGTCTCTCAGTCAGATCCTGATAGTAACGTCTTTGAATCTTTAGAATAACTTCACCTGTTTTTGGTTCATAATTTTGAGTTCGAATCAGTTCATGTAAATTTCGTCTACTACAATGTTTAATCACGGTTTCTGGAGCTAACTGTCCAAATGAGACTAAAACAGTTTCTAGAACAGTTTCGTGTGAAAATACATATATATGTTTTGCAGTTATATTTTTAAGATACAAACCGTTTAAATCAGTAATTGCGTCGTTTATATCAATATCAAAGAGATCGAAGACCCTCAATTTTTCACAAATTGTTTTCCACAAAGTCGCAGAAACATTATTTTCTTCAATGCTCCCATTAATGAATACATAGCACAACACACAATATTTCACTTTGTCGCCTTTATTT